CCTCAATTAGTGCTGTATTTAAATATTAAAAAAAAATAATAATAACTGTATGAATTATTGTTGAAATATTTAAAAAATCAACAGTGTAAATATCCAGATTGGATTAATCTTTTTTTTTACATATTACTTCTTATGGTTTCGGTTTGCGAACAATACGATTTTCAAATTAGTTAAGTTTACGAAAAACTTCTTGCTAACCGATTGCAACCTATTATACCGTCAAATAAGCTGATTTGAATTTCACAGTTTGGATTTCGTTTCAAACACGGCACAATAGAGGAAGTAAACAGAATAGTAATTACCATCTACCAAGACGTGGAAAGTAAAATACATTGCCTTTTTAGACATATCGAAAGCATTTAACAAAGTTTGGCATCTCGGACTACTATACAAAGAAATAAGAACTTATCATATAATTACTTTGATAATAGAATGTATCAGGTAGAAACAGAAGACGAATACACCGATTTATATCCAATAGAATTAGGGGTACCGCAGTGAAGTATTTTAGGACCACTGCTTTACGTTCTATACATGTCAGATATTCCTAAAACTAGCAGTACTACGATTGCAACATTCGCTGATGATACAGCAGTATTAGCATCAGATGATAATCCAGTATTAGCAACTGAATATGAAATGGAGAAGTTAATGTCATTACATTATCTGCTATGCGTACATATCACATTCATGCTAAATAAAGACACTTGCCCAACTGCAAGATTTAATGGACAAGATTTGCCCAAAGCAACAAAAGTCAAATATCTAGGCATGCATCTAGACAGAAGACTCGCCTGGAAAGATCACATTCAGGTTAAGAGGGAGCAATTAGAAATAAAGTTCGGAATTATCAGTAGAAAATAAATTATATACAAAGTAATACTGAAACCAGTATGGACGTATGGTCCAATTGTGGTGTGCGGCCAGTAAATCGAACATACAAATTATACAAAGATTAGATTTTAGATTTAATAGTGTTCTTTATTTATCAGTATAAAAAGTACATAAAAGTTTAAAATGTACACTCATTATTTGTTGTGTCCTTTTCCGGGCTTCAGTCCATACTGGTATAATTGGTTTGTATGTTGGATGACTTTTTAGTCATCCAACATAAACGTATTGTTATTGTTGTTCTTTTGTCGGAAAGTCAAAGATTGGTGTTTTTAAAAAACCCGCTTCTCGACTTCCTGATTCATGGGTTTTCGAATGGTAAACGGCTGAAGGGAAGTCTGTGCGTTAGCACCCTGCCTGGAGTTGGGCTATTTCAGATATGGTTGAGTTAAGGTGATTTTCCACCTTTGTCTCATAAAAACGTTGTGAGATGTTTCTGATGTAGTCTTTGATATATGGAAGGTTCGCTTCATCGTGCATGTCCTTTATTCTCGTGTACCTGTCTTTATTAAGCGCAAGTCTTAGACATTTGTTTTGGTACACTTGGAAATTATACTAAGGTTCTGATCAAAATGCCTAAGACATATTATTAGGGCTCCATGGTTCATCAAGAATAAACAAACACACGAAGATATTCATATAGATATGGTCGAGGATACAATACCAACATTTAGAAGTAGATAGCAAGATAGACTAGAGTCACAAACTAATGTTCTGACTATTGGCCTACTCGACAACAGTGAAACCACAAACAGGTTGAAGTGTTGCAAACCACTAAATTTAGTATAACTGATAACCGAATGGTTAAGTCATCCTACCCACGATCGAACTGGCGCTGGTTCGAATCCTGCACAAGCCAGGCCCTTTGTAAGCCTTCTCGGTGCTTGCAACATCGTTCATCACAGATGGAAAGTGAAATGAATGAGGTTTAGCATATGGATCTTCAGCCAAGTCAATGGACAATGACAGTGTTAATTCAGATTCATAGTCAAAGGAAATAGTGGAATCGCAGAGCATCAATATACTACTGAAGCGAACCTACAAGACGACAGCCAACCAACAAATTAAAAATTAAAAAATCATTATGGTAACTATCCACCGGGAAAGATTACCTACCTAATGTCAACCGCGATCTTAAATTTACTCAATGTTAACATTGATGAACAGATTGTGAATAAAATTATTACGACACAAAAAACATATACTTATACGCAAAGCTAAGTAAATGCATAACGTTAAATATCTTCTTAATTTGTTAAAAACGCAGTCTCCAGCAAAGACTTTCTAATTTCGTAATTCGCTAACGATGGAAATTTAACTGATAATTGAGCAATATAGAAATATGTAAATATTTAAAACGGGAATACTATATTTTCACTAAATATTAACAAGTAAAATAATTAAGATATAGATTCTTAATACTATAAATAACTATCAAGTTGTATGTCTTTTCTCATTTTAATTATTGAAACATAAAATGATCAATAAAATACAAACAAATAAGGAAAGTAGTTAATGAATAGCTTAAGTATTACATAAAATGCAAGTGAATAAAAACTTATCCATTTTTGTTCACATTGTATTTGCAAGTCATATTACTTTCAATCTTTTGAAACGATTACATAATAAATTCCAATTTATTTTATGGTGAGTTTATAAATCTATCAACATATGTATTGCATAATATATTTTATTTTTAAATCATCTTTTCAGAGTTTATTTTTATATAATATTTAAATTTTGTTGTAGAACGATATTTAATCACTTTGTTTTTCAAACTTTTTGACTTTTTATTGCAGATTTATAGATTTCTATTTGGATTTTGTTTATAATGAGAGGTAATTATATGTAAATATGCATAAAAATAGTCGTATATTATTATTTTCTATTAGTTTTATTTGTTAATTAATATTACAAATTAATTTATTTGAGTTGACTTTGATCTTTTTGAACCAATTGCCTTGATCATTTTATTCAAGAAACAGAATTAATTGCTGTACAGAAGTAATTTTGATGTCTATTACAATAAGTTCAAGTCTAATATCTGTAATCATGTAACAAATAATTGATATACAAGACGTTGATAATACATTTTTCATAATTAATAAAGTACTTGTATTTCAGCAGCTGATTGTAATAAACGGTAATAATCAATCAATGAAATATTCAAATCGTAAACATTAATTAATTCGCTCATATTATTTATTTATTGAAGAAACAAGATATTAATAAAATAAAATAATTGAAATAATTTCACATGTAATTCTTTAGATTGATGCGAAAAATAAAAATATACTAAAATATTTGAATTGTAACAAATGTCAAGATTTATGGAATCAATTAATTCAATTTTTAAGATTTTTAGTTCATTATTATGTAACTTATTGGATTTAATTAAACATTTAGTAATCGATTTATTCAATAAAATGTTGGTAAATTCTATTCTTAGTTACAAAATATTAACAAAAAAAAACAGCCTTTAAGCCTTCTCATAACTAAATATTTTGCAAAACAATTTTGCACAAAAAAAGTGAAATAAAAATTGACATTTGATTTGTATCAATCTCAATTTTTGCCGATGCTTAAAACTCTTTTGACCTTGTATTAATTGTAAACTATCAATTTATAAAAGTAAACATTTTCACAAATATATAGCGTTATGCAGTGAAAAATTCTTCATATGTACAATAAGAAATTAAATATTTCCATGTGTAATTTAATTATTTAGTTTGTTTGGGTGCACTTTCTCATGTATTGTGTAATGATTTTTTTCTGTGATTATACAAAGTTATTTGATATATGTAAGAATTTATAAAAATGATTTTTTTATGCGGTCCCTATCTACCGCACAAAAACAGGTTTTACTGTATTTTTCTATTCAAGTAAAATAATATGACTTTTCCGTTTGACATTTGATAGAAGTAACTTTTAGCTCATTATAGACGCGTTGTACGTAATTTTGTTTGCAGCTGTTAGTTTAAGGTCAATTTTAACATGGAGTGCAAATATGACCTATTCCTCGTTTTACACGGTACTTACATTGCACGTTTTTTCCTTTTACACGATTAAAAAATAAATTAAAATGAATGTTAAAAATTACCTATCTCTCGATTTACATAGTACTTCTTTACAAGTTTTCGTTTAACACGATTAAAAAAAATAAATTGGCTATGATTAAAACGGAACATTTTTTTCTTTTCAATATTTTTGTTTGATTTATGTACTTTAATGAAAAATAAACATAATAAAAAAACAACGAAATTATGCGTTTTTTGCATTCAAAAAATTACAATTTCCATTTACACGTTTTTTCAGGAACCAGTTTGTCGTGTAAAATGGGGGTGTATTTTTTGTTTTCGTAAAAACAAGTCAGCTGATGAGGCTAACAAAGAGATATCGGAAGACGTTTTGCCAATTCTCGCACATCTTTATAACTCGTGGAAAATTATTGGAGCGTTGTTGGGAAGTAATGTAGTATTATTTCAAAGTTTGAAAAACTTCTGTAATGGTAAAACTTTCAATAATGACGATGACCTGAAATAGTAATTGGTTCAGTCTTTTACAGATAAAAACCACTAATTGTATGCTCGGGTAATCATAAAGTTTGCCAGAAAGATGGTAAAAATTCATCGAACGAAATGGTAAATTTGTAATTGATTAAAATTCATTCATTGTATTCACACTACAAAACTGAAATACCAACTCGTAGATTAATATAAATAAAGATTCAATTCATATATGAAGATACAAAATGATGCAACAAATAATAATGCATTTTTAATTTTACCATTTTTAATTATTATATCTTAAATTTTAAGTTATATTTTGAAAAAGAAAATAATTATTTCAAAATTATAGTAATAAAAATAAAATTTTAATGGGAACTGCACTTGACTCGAAGAAGAGCCATATTATATACATATATACAGTTATTATATACATTCGTATGAACATTTTCATATAGTGAGTAGACAGGCCAATATAAAAATATGAAGACCTTAAAGATCAATAATAAGTAAGTAAACAATGTAAAATAAAAATAAATAATTGATATCAATCAAAATTTGATGGCAAAATCAACCATGGCAAATATTCATAACACTACTTACTTTGTTTGCTTGCCTCGCTTCTTCGATGTAATGTGTAGTGATGATGATAGCAATTTGTTCTTTTTCGGAAATTTCCACCATGTAATTCCAAATTCTGCAAAAAAGATAATACAATTTTCATTATAATTATGAACAAATATAAATAAATTAATTTCAAATTTATTAGTTTCTTATCGATTGAAAACATTCCATTAATTTGATGTTTTTTTTGTTTATTTCAAAATTTATATAGATATTTGCTATACAATTAATTACTTTATTTTTGTTGATTCCATCAATTTTGTTACATTTTTTATGTAAAAACATTTTGATTTTAAATATAACATATATTTCATTATTGTTTTTGAATTATTATAAAAAAAATGTTCTCTAATTAATTGGTTTGTGCAAATTTTTTGTTATATCTCTTACGTCGTTACACTTTAATTATAAAAAAATAAAAATTGGTGGATTTTATTGTTAAATTTGATATTGTATATAGATTAAACAGTAGCTGAACATATTTTAGATAATCGTAGTTAATATTATTCATATGTGAATGAGATATGCATTGATATAAACTTGTTTATCCACGAATAATCTTGAATTCATTACAATTTACATGAAAGTAATCTCGTAATCGAATCAGTTAATTTGTTTTTTGTGTGTGTTCACGTTATTGATGATGAAATTATCAGATTTAGACTAACACAAACATCGAAATTATCCTTGTGCATTGCATAAATGATTACATAAGTTTACATTAATTTTTAAATGAAATTCGATTGAAAATTGTTATTATTGACATTATGATTACCTGTCTCGTAGAACTGGGTCGAGTCCAACTGTTGGTTCATCCAATATCAGCAGTTCAGGCTTATGGATCATGGCTGCTGCAAACGAGACTCTGCGTTGTTGTCCACCGCTGCATTCTTTCAGAAATCTACACAGAAGCAATTGATGAAACGTACTGTAATTATTATGTAATTGTAATTATTGCATACCTGTTATCTGGTGGCAGATCTAGAAGTCGTTTGAGTTCCTGGAATCTGTCATAAATTAGTTTGTCCGGCATGTTCAAGATCCTTCCGAAATAGTAAACTGCGTCTTTAACGGTGAACTCGCCTACCAATGCTATATCCTGAAAATTAACGGTAAATAGTAAGTTAATGATTTGCGCAAATAATATGCCAAAAATAACGTGAAATACTTTGATGCAAATGGAATTTCTTAGAAGAAATTGCTAAAATTCTATAAAACGCTCATATTTTTAAAACAATACTGAAACAACATTGATCTTAGTAGAAATTGTATAGTTAAATAACTATATGATTTGCGCAAACATAATCCTTACAAACGATAGATATAAAATAATAATATGATGCAATGAATGTTTCTTGAAAGAAATTGTTATAATTATATAAATTTCTGATTTGCGCAAATACTATTCTGAAAAACGGTATGTAAAACGAGCATGACTTTATATCAATATTCGTTTATGATGCTCAAGCATCAGCTTCTACACATTATTATAAAGTAATGAAATTGAAAATTAGAAAAAAACTTTAATTATATGTAGTTATAATTTGCGCAAATTATATATTGAATAAAGTGAAATTGTAATCCAATTGGGGATTTTTAGAGAAAATAATTATAATTTTGTAAGTTTATGATTTGCGCAAATACTGTTCTTAAAACGTTCAGTTCTATAGTTATAGTATAGAATTGGTTATTATTATATTAAAAATATAATTATATGCGTTTATGATTTGTGCAAATATTAAATAAAACGCTCATAGTTTTAAAGTAATTATAAAAGTTTTTGACTTGAAACACTCACAATTATAAAGTATTGGTATGATACAATAGGTGTTTCTAAAAATAAATATGCTATAATTATATAAATTTCTAATTTGCGCAAATCCTATCCTTAAAAAAATATAGATAAAACTATCATAGTCATATTGATATCATATTGATATTTTTTTAAGAATTTGCAACAATTATATAAATTTTAATAATTTGCACAAACATTATCCTGAAATAAAGCGCTTAGGTTCCAATTATATGCTGTGAAACAATTGGAGTTTCTTAAGAGAAATTTCTATAATTAAAGAAGTTTATAAATTTCGCAAACAACATTCTGAAAAAGATAGATGAAATACTCATACTTATAAGTAATACTATGATGCAATTGTTGTTTCTTAAACGAAATTGCTATAATTATTTAAGTTACTGATTTGCGCAAACACCTTCCTGAAAAATCGGTATATAAAACGCTTATAGTCATAAAGTAATACTATCATAAAATTGATGTTTATTAGAAAATAGCTATAATTATATAAGTTTAGAATTTGCGCAAACACTTTTCTGAAAAAGTATATAAATTAAATACATAGTATATAAAGTAATACTGTGAATAAATTGAAGTTTTTAAAAGAAATGCTATACAATAGTATATCAGTTAAATATTTGCGCAAATACTCTCTTAATAAATGGTAGATAAAACGCTCATTGTTATTTGTGATTATTTGTGCAAACACTATCATATCATAAAATATCCGTTGTTGTTTCCTTGAATGAATTGCTAAAATTCCACATAGTTTACGGTTTGTGCAAACACGAATCAACCAATTAATTATTATTGAAATGTTTATGACGAAAGCCAATTAAGATTTTGCACTCTGAGTGAAATTAAATTGTAAATTGATTGTTGTTTATTATACGTAATGCCATGGCTGAAATGTAAATGTATATAATTATTGGTATCTTTTACTTTACTTTAATTTAATTGCAATTAAACCTTAATTATTGAGTTGTTTTCTACGAACAATTATTGTTTTCATTAGATTTTTTACAGTTTTTTTTTTCATTATTGATAGAAACATTAATTATTCATGTTTACATTCAATATCTATTCAATGTGCAACTATAATAACATAAGATGTAAACATTTCAGACTAACGTATAATGTTTTTCTTTAGAAACGCAATTTATTAATGTACAAAAAGAAAACTAGTTGTTTATGAGCTTCTAAATTATACGGGTAAGTTTTATGATAAGTTATATGTCCAGTTTATAACCTAACTTTTACCTATAAGTAACCTAACTTTAAAAATATGTTAACCTAATCAAATGTACATAACCTAACATAACTAAATCTAATCTGACGTTCAACACAAATTCTTATATTGCATCGAGATATGAATGTTACTTAATGATTATATTTGATGCAATAATACTAACTTGAGGCATGTAACCGACAGCAGTTCCGGGTACACCACTTCCTTTGGTTCCCGGTTTTCCTCCCATGACGTAAACTTCACCGGAATTCAATTGTTTCCTGCCGACAATGCAACTGAGTAGAGTCGTTTTACCACATCCGGAAGCTCCCAATAGACCATAACTGCAAGAAAAGAAAAAAATATTAACAGAAATAATTGAATATCTATTTACTATTGCCCACTTTTCTTTGAACTTCTTATTCATTTTAATTACTTATTTATCTTTGTTTTAAATATGTGTCTTTCTGACAATAAATGAATTTAAAATAAAAATTAAGTTTAGTTTAAGTTAAACAATTGTTTCAAAATCCGAGCAGCCGAAATGTACTAATAAAGATGTGTAAATAAATATATACTTTAACTTTTAACTACTAGATGATACCACATCTTTATTTTCTTTCCCCCATCTATGACACTTAATGTAACCTATGCCCAAAGTCTTTACTAAATGCCGGTGCAATATTGTGTTGACTGCGACAAAAAGCAATTGTTTTGTGCACGTTAGTCCTTGTTCTGCAGTGTTGGTGTAATAGCAGATGATGCTGATATCTCTACTCGCGCTAATGTATTCCAAATAGTTATGAATCTAATAAAAGCATTAGTTAACATGTAAAAGATTGTATTATCTTGTATGCACTCTGTCTGGCAGTAATACATGTGGTTTATAAAATACACCGCGCGAGTAGTCCATAGAAATTTCTGAGCGCAAGTAGTTAAAGGTTAAAATATATTCGTAAAATATTAAACAATAATTTTGTACTGTTTAGTGACAGTTTTTGTTTAGTATTTTCCTTCTTGTTCTGACAGATTTATGATTTTATAAATATGCTTAAATTCAACATAAACAACATCAACAGCAGAAGTATTAATACCAAAAATAAAGATCTGAAATATTTACACTAATAGGTAAAATTTAATAAATTAAAAACAAAACTAAATTCACTGAGCAGAAAGACTTAAATCTTTCCTGAAATTCTCAGATTAGGCCTGTTGTGTTAACTTTGTAAGTAGAATAAGTATATAGAATTAGTCTCAGTAAAACGTTAATATAACGAGCATAGTCTCATAAAACCTAAGACAAGCATAATCTTAGTCAACCTATCGATTAAACTACATTGTCTTGGAAAGGGACCACAAGAGTACCAATTATAATAAACTTGTTTTAAATCAATTGAATTATTTAATTCCCAACTACTGACACTCCACAACGACAACACCAGACATTATTCCACTGTGTCCAGAATTCCATCCCTGGGACACGACAGGCCAATAAACATGTTTGGTCTATCTATTACTTTATTTTATTTTTATTTATTTGTATTATTGTCATTATTTATTTTATATGCCGATGATATTTATTAATAATATAAATTGGCAGAGACAGAGTATTTTATAAATAATTAATGTACTATTCGGTCGGCAAGAAAGTGTTTTCGGTTTTTTACTGTGAAATGAAACTCTTTTTTTTTGTATACAAAGAATGAACATTAATCAATTATATATTTTCTATTTTGTTTTATGACGCTTTGTCATCTTTGTAACAACTTCATGATTCTGCGCTGATAGAACTACTGTTCTTTATTAACAAAAATCTGCAATTTTAGACCATCATAATTAGTGAAAGTTTTACTATTCAAAGAGTTCTGAAATTTCGAAATAAATTGTAATCTCATGGTATAAGATCAGGACTATATGAGGGATATGATATTACTTCCCAAACAAGCTTCAATAATTTTCCACAAGTTATCAAATGTGTGAGGATTTGCTTTGTTTTGGTGAAACACAATTTGCCAATTCAGGCAATTTTTCTTTGATTGCTTCCTCCATTTTTATTAGTTGTTGACAGTAAAGATCTGAATTGGTCGATTGCTTTCTTGGATGCAGCTCAAAATACACAACACCCTTGGAATCAATTCATTCGAATATCGAGATTCTTGTTTAAACTTCAATATATCGACCAGAAATAACCAACGTTCTCTTTGAGTGAAATATCTTCAGAACGGTTTTTTTTTAACCAATTCTGACAAGTGCATTATGTTTAACAATTAAAATAATAAACTATCCGCTGCTAACTAAATGATTCACTAATGGCTTCTAAATGAAGCTAAAAGTGACATCTTTCAAAGGAAATAAATTATAAAATTGACAGAAGTCCTTCAAAACGTAACGATATCTATTTGTGAAAACCGAAAGTACTCTTTTGTCAAGTAAATACATTATATGAAATAATAAAGTATTTATAATTAAGATAAATAATATTCTTTGAAAGTTTGGTGATTTCTGTGACAAGATAAATTTACTTTTACTATAATATTTTGCTATAAAAGCTTGTTGATTGCAATGAAGTATCAAACTTATATTAATTTAATGAACAAATTTCAAACAATTATAGATTTTTTTTTTACAAAAAGAGAACCTTTTTTTGGTAAACTTGCAACTACAGCTACTATTATAATATAATATATTGTTGTGTCCCAGGGATAAAATTCTGGACACAGTAGAATATTGTCTGGTGTTCTCGAAATACTTCAATTGGTTTTAAACAAGTTTATTATAATAATTGGTACTCTTGGGATTTAAAAGATTGAGTAAGACTATGCTCTTCATATTACCGTTTTACTGAGACTTTATTAGTCTTCAAATGTTTTACTGAACTATATCAGTCTTTGAAGGTTTTACTGAGACTAATTCTAAATACTTATTCTATTTAATTCTTATTTATTCGGGATGGGAGTTGTGATTGGGTGTAGGGCTTGTATATATTGATGATTAAGCGTTGTGATTATTATGTGTTTATAATAAGGACTTGAATTCGGAGTAAAGGTATAGGAGTATGTTAAATGCGAATGTTTACGTTTGATCCCATTTGTTTATATTAAAGTGTATCGAACCAGGATCACGGTGGAGATTCTATTATGCTGATGTATATGTTTATATATTTATGCGACTAAGAGACGCCGTGAAAGTCTCTAGTTCGTTAATACACTATATTAATAATAACAATTATAATAATAATGGTTGGAAACAATAATATAATGTAGAGGAGTTATTTGAAATATGTTGAATGATCATATTGGATACAGTGATAATGTGATAATAAATTCTATTACAAAAATGCTCTTCCTGTTATATATCTAAATACCTGTTATTCACAGTTCAATGTGCAAAGACATGTGTTGTTTTTATTGTTATTAATGGATAGTGTTTTTTTAGCGAATCAATTCACATAATTGTTGGAACTCATCGAATCTAAAAGCATTACAATAATACAAACTACTTACATATATTACAATATATTCCAAAGTTCACAAATACTTATTTATCACATTTGTGATATTTGTGAACTGTTTCTGAAGAATATTGAAATAATAAATTTGATGGAATATTTTATTAAAAAAAAATCAATCTTATGATTCATTAAGAGTTGTCAACAAAATTATAAAAACTTTTATTGTTAGCAACAAACAATAGCAAATAATAAGCTAATAACATAATTTGCAATTAAAAGTAGTTTAATTTAATTTCCACATAAAAATAAGCTATTAAATTATAATTCATTGTTTTGTGCCAGCATTCACATTATTTTCAAATTGTCTAAATTATGTTAATTTATAGAATATTTTGAAATAATTATTGCAAGAAAATACAAAGAAAGGTAAAAATAAGGTAAAAAAAAGACTGTTGAGAAAAGCTAAATTATAATAACAAATCTTGAAAATACCAATCATGTTTTATTTATTTTGTTTTATAGAGACGAATTTAAAATATAATTTTTAGAATGTCTTTTTCCTAATTTTTCTTTTTAATTTAACAAAAAAAAATATAATTTTTAGTTTGTTTTTATTCTAATTTAGTCTGCAATGTATTAAGTCGTGTAATATGAAATATCGATTTTTTTACCAGAGTACCTTGATGATTCAAAAGAATAGTCATTTGTTTAAAGTATGCTTGTTTTTTTTGTACTAATTTGACGTTAATACAGTTCTCTGTAATTTACTATTCTATTTAAGTTTTGTAGGAATTTTGTATAATGGCGTATACCAAAGAATTACAAATTATTTCCTTTTATGAGTTTAAACTGCGTAACAATGCGGCCAACGCAACTCTCAATGTCAACACTACATTTGGGGATGATACTATTATTAAACACATATTACAGAGATGGTTCGTTGTGGTAAGAATGATCTCCAAAGGGTCAAAATATTGTAACGTGGTAAAGTAGACAACGTTGTAATTACGCATCACGGTGCAACTTTGCTTCCTAAATTTCGGCCCTAAATCTTCACTCAAGTCCCGACGTGTGATGATTTAGCCAGCCGGCTTTTAAGATTTTTTTTACATTTGTATTTTTTTTCGTACACATCGTGTTACAAGATTATGGTAACCGTACTGGACAACAAATGGTATTTTTTCCATTCTTTCTTGAGGCCTTCCCAAACAATAAATGTAGACGCATACTCTCTTGAAATTGAACAGATGTACAGAACACTTGTCCAAATCGATCTTGAATTATCCAATACATCCCATTCTCTTTCAGGACAATACAAGGCCGCATGTAGCACAGAGAACCCAGCAAAAATTGAACGACTTAGGCTACGAGGTCCCATACTCACCTGATCTGTCACCAACAGATTTCCATTTATTTCGCAGTTTGGAAGAACTTTCAGAATTAATATGAGGTTGAGAGGACATTTTCAGACTATGAAGCCTATGAAAACCAATCGGAGAAATGCGTTGTCAGAAATTTTCTTTTAACGAATAAAATGGTTATTTAAATAAAACAAAACAAAGAATCCTTCCCCTTTAATAATCCGACATATCATATTACACGACTTAACACTTAATTTATTGTAAGATATGAATCATTAAGTATACGAACTCTGCATTCGTAAATTTCATACAACGAAAACAAAGCTTTCGTACAATTCGATTCCCGAACAAAAAAATGTCATTGTAAAAGTTATGACTACAATACTGTTTATGGTTCTATTTTTCTTTTAGTTTATTCTAATTTAGTGCTGCAACGTAATTATCGTAAGATATGAAATTTAAAGTATAGAAACTCTGCGTTCGTAAATTTCAAACAGATTAATCATAGTTATTTGCGCTTTCGAACAATTCGGTTCTCGAACAAAAACAAATCATTTTAAAATGTATGGCAACTTAAATGTTTAATACTGGAGTAACAAAATAATTTTGATGATTCATTAGAATAAGGCGATAAGGATTATTGCAATAACAACAACGGCAAATCCCGATAATGAACGTTCATTAGGTACAGTTTCCAGTTTTCGCTCGGCGATTTAATACAATTTTTTTTGCCTTGCAATTAAAGTCCGTGTGTCCGTTCGAAACGCTAATTACGCATATGGCGGCCACAACAAACATAGACAAATGTCACGAGATTATTACTCCACGTATTCAAAAACAAGGCGGTTTACATTTCCTGAAGACATCCAGTTTTGCGGATGTAAATATATGTATATACTCACATGCATCCTCGTGGCACCTTCATGGTCAATTTGTTCAGCACATTCTTCTGGCCGTAAGACTTCACGGCGTCTTTCACGTAGACGGCGTAATTCTCCATCTCTGAAGATCCAACTGAAAAAAAAACAAATGTTATTCAAATAAGATTTGTGCAAATTTTGCGAAACAATTGGTGCGCAACAATCGCTGTTTATTAGACACAAAGTGTTTAAGTTGCGTACGTTTGATTAGCGCTGCTCCAACAATAGATTTTTTTGTACATTGCACATTTGCGCAAACACGGCAATTCTCACATTCTCTGTAGTTGTTTGCAGCCAGGTATATGTTAATTGTATACAATTATTTATTTAACTTTCTTTGCAATTTATGTATAGTTTTATTTTGTTTACTATTACTTGAACTTTCATACTTATATATAACTTAACATACAAATTTAATTATTTTCAAATTTGTATTTATACTCATCATTAAAATTTCCTTTTTTTTCTTGCATTTTTTTCATAAAATGTCAATTTAAAGATATTTTTTGCATTTCTTTCATTTCTGCAACAAGTGTAATTGGTTATCTTTAAAAGAATGAATAAAACCAAACTAAAATATAAACTATATTTAAATCTAATCTACTTCTTAACCTAACACCAATACATACGAACCTAACCTATCTCAATCGAGAGTTAACTTTACTTTTTAGTTATTTAATCAAAATAACCTTTAATATACATACATAACCTAATCTCTAATTTAACCTCAAAATCAATTATCAATCTAACCTACATACTAAGTTGATACATAAACAAATCCCTAACTCAACCTACATTATATGTTAATACATAAACTAATCCCTAACTTATCTACAAATAAAACTTCTAACTTAATCTACATACTAAGCTAATGAATAGTTTAATCCTTAAGTTAACCTCAAAGTAAACTGCTAACTTAACCTATATACGTAGCTGATACATTAAAAGATTTAATTAGATCTCTAATCTCTAATTAGATCTCAAAATCAATTATCAACCTAGCCTACATATTGAGTTGATACATAAACAAATCCCTAACTCAATCTACATTATATGCTAATACATAAACTAATCCCTAACTTATCTTCAAATAAAACTTCTAACTTAATCTACATACTAAGCTAATGAATCGTTTAATCCTTAACTTAACCTCAAAATAAACTTCTAACTTAACCTACATACTTAGCTGATACATTACATCACTAATTAGACCTCTAATCTCTAATTAGATCTCAAAATCAATTATCAACCTAGCCAACATATTGAGTTGATACATAAGCAAATCCCTAACTTATCTCCAAATAAAACTCCTAACTTAATCTACATACTATGCAAATGCATCAGTTAATCCTTAACTTAACCTCAAAGTAAACTTCTAACTGAACCTACATACTTAGCTGATACATAAAATAATCCCTAACTTAACCTCAAAGTATTTTTTTTAACTTAATCTACTTTCTAAGCTAACACACCAGTCAATCCTTAACTTAACTTCAAAGTATTTTTTAACCTGACTCCAAATTTACCTAAACTTGATCAATCTTAACCTAACCTCAATCTTGACCTAATTTATTCCTATAACGTAACCTGTCTGTTTTAATACTTAATATGAAATATAATTTTATTTTAAGACAATTATATTATTACGCTAAACTCATCATAAATTATAAATTTTAAATGTCTAAAAAAATCTATCCTACAAAGACATCAATAGCTTAATTGATGGCATTTTTAAGAACTTTTTAATTAAAAAAATAAGACTGTCGTGTCCCGGGATTCAAATATCTCTCGACACTGTGGAAGTCCTAGTCGAGTTTTTATGATAATAAACACTTTATTATTCACTATAAGATTATTAATAACTTCTATATCTAGATTTCAGTTGCTAGGTTTGTTACTAGGGTTTTTATGAGTCTAACTAGGACTCAGGAGGACTCTCCACTAAGACTAAAACTAACTTGCACTAGCGACTAGCTAGGACTATGACTTTAACACTGACTTAAAGAGTCAGTATTTGTTCTAAATCTTAATAACTTACATACATAAACATGTATAAAACAATAAGGGCTAACATAATATAAACAATAACGGTTATACATAACAAGACAATGTAATTTGTTTTCAGTTATTTAATTTGATATATATATATTATAAACATATTAGATAAAAACAACATTTCAGAATCTTTGCTTAAAACAATGTGTAAAAAAATTGAGAAGGAAGAAAAATATATATAATATGTTATTATTATGATTATCTCTAAAATTGAAAGAAAACTGTATAATACAGATTACCATATTGAATTCAACATATGCACTTCGACGTGCGTACGTTTAATACTGATGAAAGTAAAAGTGAAACACAAGGTCAACTTTCGAATAAAACGTGCGAAATTTATTTTAATGTAGTACATTATTTAAATTCGATTCGCTTCGTTTATTGGCAATGATGTTTATGTAGTTTGTTGCATCAAGGTTAAGATTGATATTGCAAGAGTCAATCGGCTAACATCTGCTCCAGTTTGGAAATGTCGCGTGTTTTAAGAAAAAATGTTGCATGATATTATATAACCGTTAAATTTCTGTTACGATTTATATAGCGTGATCTTATTGAGAAGAAATATGGAAACCTAATTTATAAGAAAAACATGTTTTTTTTTAAGAATATTAATTTTCATCATGATTTTTTTTTGTTTACTCGTGTATTCTATATAATTATTACAATCAATATTTTTTGTGCTTTGTTTGTAATTTTTTTATGTTTTTCTGTAAACATTGTTTGTTATTACTCTAAAATTATTATTTTGCAATAGTTTTTTTAACTTATCTTGTTAGCAAACAATGCATATTTTTTTGTTGTTGCGTTCTGAAATTGATGTTTTAACGCATTCATTAAGATTTGTTATTCTAGTTATTTAAATCTCATATTATAATTACGTATAAAATTTAC